GGACAGGCTCCTGCCGGCAGGGTGGGGCGCCGGGGGGCGGGGGCCAGGCTCCGGTGGTGCAGACCTGGCTTCACTGCACTTTCTCACCTGCAGGCTGTAGAGGGCAGCGTGCTGCTCAGCTCCTCCTCCGATCACTCGCTGACGGTCTGGAAGGAGCTGGAGCAGAAGCCTTTGCACCAGTACAAATCGGCCTCCGAGCCCGTCCACGCCTTCGACCTCTATGGCAGCGAGGTGGTGACCGGCACGGTGGCCAACAAGATCGGGGTCTACTCCCTGGGGGAGTCCTCTGCCCTGCCCACCAGCACAACCAAGCTGAGTTCGGAGAACTTCCGCGGCACCCTGACCAGCCTGGCCGTGCTGCCCACCAAGTGCCAGCTCCTGCTGGGCTCTGACAACGGGCTGATCCGCCTCCTGGCGTAGGGGCCTCCGCGGCCAGCTCTGGGGGGTAGCACCTAAGGCCAGTACTCCACTTCTGGGCAGGGCTGAGGCCTTTCCCCGGGGGCCCCAGTAAATCCCCCGCCCTGCCTACCTTCAAGAAGCCATAACGGAGGGACCTCCACTGCCTGCTGCTGGGGGGAGTTTGGGCGTTGCGGGGCAGCGTCGCCCCTCTGGAGGCCTGGAGCCTTCCACACCGCGTGTGCCTGAGCTGCTTAGGGACGTGGGCCGGGCGCGGGGCGAGGCACACGGCCCCCACCCTGCACACTCAGCCCCCCGGGCCGGGCTAGCGCCGCACTCGGGTCCTCAGGGCAGTGGGAGGCAGTGGAGCCAGCTCTCTACCCAAGGCAGCCACCACCTGCTGCCCGCCCTGGGGCGGGGGTGGGAATGCACCTGCCCCAGCGGCCAGGGGGCAGGAACTAGATTTGGTGGGGGGTGCTCCTAGCCAGGCCCCCTGGTGGGGGAGGGGGAGGAACGTCTGCCCCCCAGAGGCAGAGGCCAGAGGGGATTTCTTTTGCCTGCTGTGCTGGGAGCAGCCCCCTCAGTGCTGGGCGGAGTTGAGGCTCGGGGTGGGGGTGGCTTGAGCCCTTCCTTGCTGTCCTGCCTCTCGCTCTACCCTAGCGGGCGGGGCCCCACAGGCCCGCCACTCGGTG